TGATTGGTTTTTTTGGGGGTTGGGGGGTTGGGTGGGTGGGGGGGTTATGAAACTCCTCACCGTTAGGCTTTGAGTTTATATCGTTGTGTTATGTCTGATTAAAGGGCTGATCTGAGTCTCAAAGCTCTTGATTGAAGAGATCTGTGCATTTTGGGCTTCTTTAGGGCATCCACTCACACTGCTTCCTTTGATATTTTTATGTTTAAAGGAGGTAAAATTGTGTTTTCTTCTGCAATTTAGCTAATTTCTGATTAACATTTTCCTTTTTCATGCAAGCAATGACTCGCCTTAGGAGATCGTGATAAGATGAGTAGTCCTCGAGATGCTTGTTTTTTTGTATACGACAGTGGTGAGGCAATCCTGAATGGTTTCTATATTGCAAGCAAACATTTTGCACCATTTGCTAGTAACACTATAACTGCAAAATAGAAATCTCGGATTTCAACCATTGTCAAAATCCAAAATACAAATCCATGTCCGAACAGCCCCAAAATCTTTCCTATTTTCTCTGTCAGAGCATATGATGATTTGCCCTCTATGGTGGGATCTTGGGTTTTTTCTTCTAAGGGGCTGTTTGGTTCGTTTCCTAGATATAGGGAAATGCATTTCCATGTACAAAAACACAAGTTTTGAGTTTTCCAAACTTTTCCAAGAAATAGATTGTTTCGCTTTGGTTCGCACAAAAAAATGGTGGGAAACCAATGTATTTATTTTTCTTGTGTTTGGTTCGCATGGAAAAAAAGGGAAAACTTTTGTTTATATGGCAAAAAGCTGACGTGGCTGCAGTTTTCGTCGATTTCACGAGGTTGAGGAAGGAATTGGGGGAGAGAAAAAAATCTGATGTGGCGGCGATTTTCACCGAGTTTCCCTTTTTCAACCCTAGCGAACCAAAGATGGGAAAAAAACGACGGAAAGCTTATATCCTACGTGGCCACGAAAAATCTGATGTGGAGGCGGTGTAAAACTTTTCCACGAGTTAAAAAACGAACAAAACAGCCCCTAACCCATAATCCCATATGCTTTTGGTATTATTTTCGGGTTGTAGATATTATCCCTCAAATCTTCAATAATTCCATATTAGTCGCCAAATCTTTGAAATTGCTCGTGCGTACCTCAGAGACTTTAAGGGGTCTAAAATCGGTCCCTCAAATCTATCATATTTCTTAACTTTCCCTCTAACGCTGTGTGTATTTTCAGTGACGAGGTGTATTTTCTGCAGATTGAAAGGGAGAGATGGAACTAAGGTTAGGATTTAGCACCTTTTGTTATGTCTGATAAAATGGCTGATCTGAGTCCCTAAGCGCTTGGCTGAAGAGGTCTGTGCATTGATGGCTCATTCAGGAAGTTTACAATGTAAGAATTTTTCTACAATTTACCTATTTTCTGACTAACATTTTTCTTTTTATGCAAGTAATGATTTGCACCAGGAAATCTTCCACTGCTGCGCAAAGACAAAATTGCACCAGCTTACTGTGGTAAGATGATTGGTCCCTGAGAAGTTTTATTTTGCATATGACAGTGGCGATGCAATTTGAATAGTTTGTGTGCAAGCAACCACCTTGCAGCCATTTGTTAGTATTGCCAATAACCTTTGGACAGTTTATGGTAGTTTTTCACAAGAGACCTGAAAAAGTTCATGATGGTTCTATTAGTGTGAAGTTTATCCATATTTGTTAATGGATTAATTTCACATGGCCCCCCTTTAGGATCATTGTTTTGAACCTCCTACCCTTGTAGTTTCATTGTCGCAGATAGACCCGTGTTAATTTTTTGACTCTTTTATCCTTGGGGAAATTTTCGCAGATATTGTCCCTGGGTGGAATTTGTTAGTTGAGGGTAAAAATTGTTGTGGGGTTAATGACTTGCCAAAGGAAATTTTGCAGTGCTACTTAAAAATAATGCCCAGTTTGTGGTAATGATTAGTCCTAAAAAAGCTTGAATTTTTTTGGCACACTATGGTGGCATGGCAATTGTGGATGGTTTGCTACAGTGCAAGCAACCATTTTGCATCATTTGTTCATATTGCAAATAATATCAATAGCTTATGGCAGTATTTTGCTGAATACCCCAAAATTTATGGTGGTTTTGTAAAATTTACACCTTATTTATATATTTTATGATGATTTTTTTGCTTTTGAAGCATGGGAGATGCCTTTCTCTGGAGAAGAGAATTCCATTGAGGATTCCTCTTAGCATATTTTCTGCTTCTAAATTTAGTATTCTGATAACATTCTCTTAAGTCTTGCTTATTTTTTATTGGAGATGGTGATGATTTGCCCTCTTCATTGGGATCTATGACTTGGTGGTGATTTTTCTTTGAAACTGGGAAAAGCCTCAACCTGAAAAATGTTTTACGCAATGTGTTACAACGAGGAGTGAAAATTGATCATAATAGTTAACAAATTTCCCTTATTTAACGGAATAGGTTGGCTGATTGGCACTTAAATACCTTTTATTTCACTTATCATATCTCCGACTGTCTGCATTGTTTAATGGCGAGATAAGCTTAGAGTGTCTGCTATAGTGCATGCTATCCTTTCACAGCCATCCCCTCGTGGCTGTTAGAAGTGCTGATCTAAGTCCCCTTTTTGTCAAATTTCTTGCATGTCATTGTGCCAATAACTCGTGCCTAAATATCGAGTAAAATTCTGGTGCTTTATTTACTTTCTAATATGGTGGTCCTCAAACGTTTAGAAAAGCATTACATCTTTCTGGAGATAAGATGAAAAATTATTTGTTTATTCTGCAAAGTTAGTCTTTTTTTGCTATCTCCTCAAAAGTATGATCAAGAAATTATAGTTTGTCCAATGAGAATGATTGTTGGAACATTACTTGTCCATGTGGAACTCCCTTGGTTGCACATTTTCTTAAGCTTTGCTATCTGGATGTGAGAATAAATTTCACAATATTACTATGAACTATGTTTTTTTTGTGCATAAACCACCATTTAACTTTTTTTATTAGAGAGAACTATGTGAAATCTATGGTAGTTTTTCCATATTGCGATGGCGAGGCAATCCTGGATGGTTGGGTATATTTCAAGCAATGCAGCCATTCCACGGTATAGAGGACATGAATTCCTAAGGGATGGTTTTGTTTTGCTATTTGGATATCAGCATATGGCAAATTCCGGAAAACTGCCATGAAATTTCGGGTGTTTTGCACAAAATATTACGACCTTTAATGGCTAAATAGCATTTAATTACTTTATGGTTTACATGACTTTGCACTTACATACCTCATGGTTTACATGACTTTGCACTTATATAGGTAAAATAACCAGATTTGTACATTTTATACAGCAAAAAGCAGTGTTATCGATGCTCGACATGCAATGCGGGGCACAAAGCTTCTTTACGTGTACATGCAAAAGGTGAAATCTAATATCTAATGTGGCCCCTGATTGACGTGAGGTGCACACCACACGCATAATTTTTCAAGATAGATAAACAAGCATGAATGAACATGTCTATAAAGTTTCACATAAAAACAATGCCAAGATAAATGATATAAACTACCATATTGTAAACAAAGGTCTTAATTCATAATGCTAATACACCCAACATAGTAGTAAAGTTCGTCATTTCCCAAATCAAGTCAAATCAAGAATAATATTGAAGAAAAATCAAATAATATACAGGAATGAATTAGAGTCCTCAATCGGGCTACTAAAATGGCGCAATGAGTATATTTTTTCCTTTTGGGATATAGGCTATCGAATACAAAAACCTAAGTGAAATGTTAAAGAAGAAAAATATGTGCCTTGTGTGAAGCACCCTCACGCAGGGCACTTGAGAGGCGCATAAAGGCGTTGTCGTCTCATATATGGGGTGCTTCACCACTGATCTGCCTTGCTGGGGGCATGAGGCATGCGCCTTTAATAACAATGAAAAAAAAGTAACCAGATCGGTATTCTTCTCGATACTATATGCATAGAGTCGGCTGATGAACAAGAGGGGGGGGGCGGGGGGGGGTGGCTGTAACCCAATGTCGTACTAAAAATGCCAATTTGGTCATTTAGCCCTTTGGTTAGAGAAAAGTATTTGAAGTTTATGGTTGTTTTCGTATATTACAGTGGCGAGGTAATCCTGGATGCTTGGCTATTTTGCTAGTGACCATTGCAGCCACTGGTCGGTGTGGAGGATATAAATTCCTATGGACTTGTTCTGTATCACATTTTTGGGATATGCACAAATTTCACAAAACTAGCATGAAATTTGTAGAGTTTTGCTCAAACTGCCTTGAACCTTAATGGGTAAATAGCGCTTAAATTACCTTTCGCATGATATTGCACTTATATACCTTGTCTGTGTTCTATTAGAGAAAAATAGATGAAGTTTATGGTATTTTTTGCATATTACAATTGCGAGACAATCCAGGATGGTCCGTATATTGCAGGCAACCATTGCAGTTATTCGTTAGTACTGCTAGAAGCAGCAGCAGTAGCAACAGCACCAGCAGTAGCAGCAGCTGCAGTGGCTTTCTCAAGGCCTTGTTGCCTTCTTCAAAGCAAGAGAATGGGGGTAAAAAATCCTACCTCTAACTGAAAATTATATATACTGGAAGACATTATTTCTCTTCTCACTTCTCAGAGACTGTGATGGCTTTCCCCTTTGTGAGATTTAGGGCTTTGGTGTTAAATCTTTTTTGCTTGCAGAATTTGGATTATTTTTTTCTCCATTTGCTAAACCAAAACCTTATCTGTTTTCAGTATTATATTTCGGGTTTTTTCCCCTGTATTCTCCTCAATCTATTATAATTTAAAATTTACTCTACATATTCCAGTGGCAAGGCATTTTTGCAGCTGAGTTAGTACTTATCTTAAGATAGAAAGGAGGGTTTTCTGGCTCCTTCACACTGTTTTCCTTGAAACGATGTGAAACATTTTGCTGTTTTTCTACAATTTAGCTAATTTTTCATTAATGTCTTCCTTTTTCGTGATCACTCAAGGAACTTTGTGGTATATTTGTTCCTTTAAACATTTTTGCTTTTTCCATATTATTACGAGGGCGATCCAGCTAGTGGTCTGTTAAATTGCAGGCCTATTGCAGCCACTCATTAATATGGAGAATTTGGGGATATATTTTTATAGGGTTTTGATATGTACCCTCCAAATTTTAGGTATTTGTAATTTTGATTTTTTAGATACTGGTCCCTAAAGTCATTAATGTTTACTAATTAGTCCTCCAATTTATTGAAATTGTTACTCATAGTCTCCCAAATCTTTTAGTTATGCATGAATGCATCATTTATCTTCTCCCCACTCATAGATGATGATGATTTGCCCTCTTCTGTGAGATTTAGAATTTTGATGTAATTTTTTAACCGAAAGAATTTGGAAAACGCTACCTGTTCTTGGTATTATTTATTTATTTTTATTCCATGTATATTGAAATCTATTTTTTTAAATTTATCCCTCAAATCTGCATGTTTTCAATGGCGAGGCACTTCTTGCAGCCATTTTGGTAATTTCTGCAAATAAAATGGGGGAGAAACAGAATGAAATTTGGGCTTGGTTTTGTATATAGCCCCCCTGTACTATGATTTATTTGGGATTTCTGTCTCCGATTCTTTGTAATTTTGATGTATTGTGGTTTATCGGTGTTATGCATATAACTGAGTTTATCATTTCAACCGGTGGGGCCCTCCTTGAGTCCTATCTTTTCTTTCTGCAAGTCGGGGAAAAAGCCCATCATGATTAAAGGGATGATCTGAGCCTATCAGTTGTAAGGAGATCTCTGCATAGGTACGTTCAGGCAGTTAGGATTTTACATGTAAAGAAGGGTTCGTTCATAAATCCCTCATGAATTTTAAACTTTTCTCACCAGACACCTCCTACTTGTAGTTGACAAATAACTAAAATATATCGAGGGAAAACCCCTCAATTGTGGAAAGGGGATACATTGCCATCCCACCATTATATATAATGAGAAATTGGTGGTACTCCTAAATGCACAGAAGATTGACATGTATCACCTAAATGATGCTCTGACATGTGTCATATAAAAAATAGCCATGTATCTCTCTATCCTATTCCTATCAGAAGATAACATGTGGACATTGAATCTTCTCGTCACCTAATTCAGAATTTCCATCTAATTAAAACTATTCATAATTTAAAAATTATAATAATATGGTATTTGGTCAAACTTTTCAAATTATAACTATCTATAATTAAAAAAAATGTCATGACTGTATCCCTCCTTTATAATGAGAAATTGGTGTTTACCTAGAAACCTGAAGTTGCCACACGGCACATGGCAGTTTGTTAAAATTTGGGGATAAAAACTCTCTTTTCCATTTAGTTTGAAATTGATTTTAAGGATATCTAAGGAAGGAATAAGTATTTTGACCCATAAATTCTTACTTATGTATTCTTCGGGACTATGATGATTTGCCCTCTTCATTGGGATCTAGGAATATGTAGTGATTTTTGTTTGGAATTGGGAAGTTCTTCAGCTAAAAGATGTTTCCATACTCATTGCATTACAACTAGGACATATTTCCTTATTTAACCACATAGTTCAGCTAATTGGCACTTAAATACCTTATAGTTTTCACATGCTTTTCATCTTTCAGACTATGCATTGGTTAATGGCGAGGTAAGATTGGATAGTCTGCTACCCTGTTGGCCATCCTCTTGCAGCCATTCCCTCATGTCTCATTAAAAGGGCTGATCTGAGTCTTCTTTTTGTTCAATTTTTTTCGCGAACTGTTGCTGACAAAGAGGATACCAAAACCGAGTAACATGCAGGTATTGTCTTATTTTTCATACGGTGCCCAAGTGTTAATGAAACATTATGGTTCTTTCAGCAAAAGTAGCCTTTTTTTTGCTTTACTCCCCTCAAAAGTATGATTAGTATGGTCAGCTGAATATAAATAATTACTGAAACATGATTGCCCCATGTGAAACTTCCTTTGTTAGGCATTTATTTCTTTAAGCTTGTTATTTTCATATTACAGTAATGAGCAATCCTGGATGGCTAGTCCTTGAGAAGCTTGTTTTTTCTTTTGCATAATACAGCGGCGAGGCAGCTGTGGATGGTTTGCTGTAATGCAAGCAACCATTTTGCAGCCATAGGGTAGTATAGCAAAGAATCTTGGACAGTTTATGCCAGTTTTGTGCATAGACTCCAAAGTTCATAGTGGTCCTTTATTTATTTAGTTATATGATGATTTTCTTGCTTTCAAAGCATGAGTGATGCCTTTCCGTGGTGAAAAGAAGTCCTTTGAGGATGTCTTTTAGTATATTTTCTGCTTCGAAGTTTAATATTCTGATATTGGTCCCTCAAATCGTGCTTATTTTTCTGTTTCTGAGATGATGAATTTGCCCTCTTCATTGAGAAAGAAATAAGAAAAAGCATCAACCTGAAAATCAGTTTAGTACAACATGCACCACTCTTATTTTAACAACATAGTTTCTACAAACTGAAAACTGTTTTTTTTGTAAACTACGTGCTTAAAAATAAGAGCATTGTTTGTTAAACTTTTTGTTTTGTAGGCCATATGACTGGTGGTTTATCTGCAATTAACCTCTTATTTACCCCAAGTTTCAACAAATTTGAAACTATTTTTGTTGTTTCAGACTTTCTGCATTTCTCATGTAATGGCGAGGTACGCTTGGATGGCCTGCTTCGCAGATCATGCTTGCTTGCAGCCATACCCTCATGTCTGATTAGAAGGGCTGATCTGAATCTCTTTTTTTGTTCCAACTTCTGAATTTGTGCTCATATATAGAGCCCCAAACACCCTCTTCTTGTGTACTCTTCAATGTGGTGTCTGAGTGTTAAAATCATCTATATTTCTCTGCAGAGTAGAGGAGACATGGTTTTATTCTGCAAATTGGTTTTGTTGCTTTCTCCTCTTCAAAAGAATGATAAAGTAAATGCGGTTTTCCTGACGAAAATCTTTGTTGGAACATGGTTGGTTCCTATGTGACTTTGTTTTGCATATTTGTTTCTTTAACCTGTTGGTATGTGCATATTTCGGTGGCTGAGCAGTCCTCGATGGTCTGCTACATCGTAGGCATCAATTGAAACCGCTTATTGATACCACTCATTCATATGCGGGATATGAATTCCGAAGGGCTCATATCACATTTATGCTGATTTAGGTAATTATTAGATTACTTATTATGGTGAGGTGTGTATATGTGAACAACCCTTTATATACCTTGGCTGCACAAACTGCAAATTTTGACGAAAACTAGTTTTTTTTTTAAAAAGTCAGAAGTAAAAAATAGTTTTTCAGCTCTCCTCCATGGTTAAGGTTCTTCCAAGGCCTTCTCTCTTATTGTTTTCATAAATGCATGAGCTGAGGGTAGGGGTGCCAAACGGTTCGGTTTTATCTGAACCGATCCGCATCCGTATCCGAACGGATGCAGATATGGTAAATCATTTTTAAAACTGGGCGGATATGGTTTCAGATACAGATCTGGTTCCTTTATTTTGGATACCGATCTGGATACGAATATGAGTGTAAGATTCAGTTGTAGATACGGATATCCGCAATTTAATAAACATAAGGATTCGGGTTGTATCCAAAGTTCTAACCCGTAACCGTTAACCAACCCAAAACCCAACTAAAAAACCCTAGCCTCCACTCCAGTCTCTCTAGTCTCTGCTCAATTTCTACAACGCGCGACCCCAGTGCCTGACAGTTCCCGCCTCGTCTTCGCCAGTTCGCCCTAGCTCGTCTTCTTCGGCCAGTTTTGACTGCCGTCATCACAGTTCGCGCGCCTGGTACTTCGCGCACACCGTCAGTTATCGCCATCTCCCTTCTCACTTCGCCCGCGCCGGCGCTCGTCTTTCGCCAGTCCGCCCGCCGTCGTCTTCGCCACACTCGTCCTTACGATCTTGCCGTCGTCCGCCTAATCTTCGCCCGCCTTGGTCTTCAGCCCCACGTCATCGGATCTCTCGCCTCGTCTCCCGCTGTTGTCAGATCCGTCGTCTTTACCCCATCTTCGCCCGCCTTGTCTTCGCCGCACGCCGTCAGATCTCGCCGTCGGATCCGCCGTTTGTTCCATAAGGTCGAATCGAAACTCTACTTTTAATTTCATTGTCAATATGTTATATGTGACTATAAGATTTTTGATTAAGTTTTCTTTTTAATTTCATTGAATAGAAATCATGTCTAATCCTTCGATTCAAGCGTCTAATGAAGAACAAACTATTGAGCTTAATGTTGAACCTTCTGTTGAACCCGTGGTTGAGGAATTTTCAAGTAAAATTGATGAAAAAACTGAAAAGAAAAGATGTTATTCTGAAGTGTATAGTTAGATTTTGATAAAATAGATAAAATAGAAAAGAAAATAGTTGATGGGAAAGAGGTTGTCACCAAAATCATTAGAGCCAAATACTAACATTGCTCATTTGAAGCCTATGGACGTAGTATCAAGGGTATTTCCCTTCTTAAAAATCACATTGCGAGATGTACTAAAAAGAAAAGACCCGATATCCGTCAACAATTGGTTTAAACTACTATAAAAAATAAAGATGAGACGTGTGCACTTAGTAATTATCAATTTGAAAATGAGAAGAGTCAAAATCTGCTTGCAAAGGCAATAATCGTGCACGAATATCCATTTAACATTGTAACACATGAGTTTTTCCTCAAGTATGTGCATTCTTTCCGTCCAAATCACAAGGTTCCAAAACGTACACATATCACAAAGTTGTGTATAAAGATTTATGAAGATTATAAAAAATCTATATTGGATTTGCTTGATAAATCTTCTATAAGATTAAGTTTTAACAATGGATAAATGAACATCATCGTCACAAAATTTGTCTTATTTGTGTGTCATCGCTGAATCGTGGAAACTACAAAAACGTATTATTGGATTTATTAAAGTTCATAGTTCTATGGGGAAAGACATTTGCAATGTATTAATTTCGTGTTTGCTTGAGTGGAAAATTGATTATAAGATATTGTCGATTACGGTGGATAATGATAAAGCTAATAATGTTGCCGTGAAATTGGGAAAAAACATCTTAAAAAGTGGTTACTTTGTGGCGGAGTCTTTTTTCATGTAAGATGTGAAGCACATATAATTAATCTTATTGTTCAAGAGGGTTTAAAAGTTATCGCTAAAGCTATTGAAAAAATAAGACTTAGTGTTAAGTATGTTACATGTTCACCAAAAATGGAGGAGAATTTTTATCATGTTGCTAAACAAGCTAATGTGGTAAAGGAAAAATTTCTTGTTCTTGATTGTTGCACCGATGGAATTCTACTTATCTAATGTTGACAATTGCTTTAAAGTATAAAGTTGCTTTTAATAGATTTGAGCTTAGAGATGATAAATGTCTTCATTGTCCATTAGAGGAAGAATGGAATAATATTGAAACATTGAGTAAATGTTTAAAACATTTTTATCATGCAACAAATCTCCTCTCCGGTACTATTTATCTTGATTGCAATCTTTTGTTTGAAGAATTTTTGTGAAATTCATTTGCTTCTTATGGAGTGGTTAAAAAGTGATGATGATACAATTGTGGCTATGACTTTTACAATGAAAAGAAAATTTGATAACTATTAGCACATGTGCAATAAGATTTTTGCGGTTGCTATTTTTCTTGATCCAAGATACAAATCATTGCAATCAAATATTTCTTTGGTTTGATTTATGGTGTGGATGGTGAAAAGTGTACAAATGATATTTTAGTTGTCATTAAGAAGATGCATGAAGAATATTACATTTAGGGACAAAGAGGAATCTAAAAATGTCGAAAATACTTCAAGCACTCAAACAAAAGAAGTAGAAAGAGTTGGTGATAAAAGGAAATCAAGTTTTGCACAATTTGTTGAAACAATTGATAAAGAGCCTACAAAAATAGATTTAGATTTATATATGAAAGGCATTATTACCACATGAGATGATGAAAAATGGGAAAATTTGATATATTGAGTTAGTGGAAAGCAAATTTTGGGAAGTATCCTATACTAGCAAAAGTTGCAAGAGATGTTTTGGGCATACCGGCCTTGACCGTAGTATCCGAGTCCACGTTATAGCACCTAGGGATGTGTAATTCATTGTTATAGAAGCCGAATGACAACAGATACGATGGAGGCATTGATATGCGCACAAGATTGGATTAAAGTGGTACAAGGAGGTAAATAATAAATTTGTACAAAGTTTATCTATCTATTTTTGGTTAATGAGCATCTAATGATTATATGTTTTCTCTACTCTTTTTTGGTAGTTACACAAGTTGAAACTAGTAAGGATGATGTTCTTGATGTGGCTAAGATAGTGGATGACGATGACTCGGAGATTGCCGAGACATTAGTAAAAGCACCATTAGGTATGTTATTTGATTCAATAAGCACATGATTTGAAATTTTTATTTTTACACATTTAACATGACAATTCTTCTTTTTTTTTTGCAAGATGACATCATGGAGGTCTACGACTCGGATGATGTGATTTGATATTATGCTTGCATCCATTGGTGTCATATTCTAGTTAACTTTTGCATTGATGTGTTAGCTTGAAACTCTAGAGAACTAATTATGTGGTTTTTATTTGTTTGTGTTTGGTGTTTGTTTGAAGTAATTCCGATTATGTGTGAATTAAGTTATTTTGAAATGATGATATTATATATCTAAATTGCTCTTTTGATGCTTTGCTTTGTTGGTTATAGCAACTGCTTAGATACTATATATCAAATCCAGGTACAATTGATGATATTACATGTATTTGCGATTGTTGTATTATATTTTATCATTTGCGACCACATACATTTATGCAAGGAGAAGCCTACAACCACATACATTTACCCATTTGGTTGTAATTTATACATAAGTGTACTAATTTATATCCGATTCATATCCATTTATCGAATATCAGTGTTATATCTGTGATCGTATCCGATCTGATTCTCAAATATCCGAACCATATTTGTTTCTGGTGAGTGCGGATATGGTTAATGTTTTTTCTTATCGAAGACAGTCCATATCTGTATCCGTTTATAGAAAGCGGTTATGGATATGGTAAGTGTCATATCTGAACCGTATCCGCTTCGTTAACACCCAGGGGGAAAAAAATCATATAGAGGGGTTCTCTATAAAAAAATCATATAGAGGGTTCTTTATTATAAAAAAGAATTCCTATTAGCCCCTCAAATCTTTGTTATCTCCTCTTTTTTAGATATGATGATAATTTGCCCTCTTTGGTGAGATGTTTGGTGTTTTTTTTTTGTTTTTTTTTTTACCCAAAGAATTTAGAAAACCCCATCTGCAACTCTTATTATTTTTCAGGCTGTCTGCAACTTTTTCCCAATGGTGAGGCAATTTTGCATCCATTTTGGTATTTTCTGCAGATTTTTTGGGTAAATTTCACAAAACCCCCTAATTTTGGTCCATTTTGAGATAACTCCCTCTAACGTTTGGAAATGTCCAAGTGGCATCATTTGCAAATCCGAGCCTCCAATTTATTGCGAGATATCACTTGCATTGTGGAAGATTGTCTGATTTCATTTGTTCTTAAGACTCTTATGTTTTGTGATGTTAACACGATTTATTTATGGTGCTTTTGATTTTAAACCCATTCCTTTACACTTAATTATTTTCCCACTTCCAAAATCATTCATACAGGGAGGAAGGGAGGGGTTTGGCCCCTTTTTTATGTCAGATTAAAGGATTGATCAGAGTCTCCAAGTTCTTGATTAATTATGAATAGGGATCAGAAGACGTAAAAGGATTTTGTAAAAAAGACAAGATTTTAAATATCAGATATTGGGGAAATATAAGACGATCGAAATTCATATTGGATTGTGGATATCGGTGAAATATCGAGGATAATATCAGAATGCCATAATGAATGTTTGCATTATAGTATAATGCACTAAAATGTAATCTCAACATACTTAATGAAATCTAATCATACAAAATATAAAAAGTATATATTTAGGATCACTAATCAACCTTGTAGAATAAACAAAAGTACAAATCAATGTTGCAACATTTTGTTTGATTATTTTTAGGCCAAAATGTACATTTTTGATATAATGGAAAAATCATGATACCTCACCCAAAAATTGCCAAACGCATATTGTTTTGTGACAAGCCATATAAAAAGATATATCGGGTAACATATAACCTGATATATCGATCATATCTGGGATATATTGCCCAAAATAGCCATAAAAATGATAAATGATATTTGGAGACCATATTAGTTGTAGCAAGCCCTGTAAAAGGATATATCAGGCGATATATCCGGCAATGTCAGGGATATTTAAAACAATTGAAAAAGGTGAATTTTTGCAGTGTTGCTTTGCAATTTACCCAACCTTTGATTAACATTTTCCTTTTACTGTAAGTACTGCCTGAGGAAAAAAATTGTGCCATGAAGATTAGTTCTTGAGAAGTTTGATTCTTTGTGGACATTGGTGAGGCAACTTGGATTGTTTGCTATTTTGCAAACAACCATTATGCAGCCATCTGTCAGCACTGCAAATATCTGAATCTTGAAGAAATTGCAGGATATGACCCGTTACATTCGCGAAGATTGACTGATGGAATTTGTACTTGGTTCTTATGTTTTATGATTTCAACTTGATTTATTGATGGGTTTTTTGACATAAATCCCATTCTCTTACTCTGAATTATTTTTGAACTCACCCACTTCCAATGACATGGCATAACGGAATTGGCTGCTGCGTTACTAAACTGTTAAACACCCCTTAGTTCATATTACGGGAAGGAAGACAGAGAGAAAGAGTTGCTATGGGGCTATATGTGTATCAAACGTCCACATTTCTAATCTTATTGTCTTACCCTTTCAAACTTTTAACCATGAGACATGAATACATTCTCTATTAGCTACTTTTTTTTGAAGCAAAAAGCGGGGTGAGGTACCCTACTCAAAACTATATCGATATATAAAATGATAAAGGTAAAAAACCATACAAAGTTAGGAGTGATTCGAAACCGACAGAAGTTGTAAGGGGTGGGGAGCGGATCTATTCGTCACCCACTCACAGACAACTTCCACGATTTCAAAACTCCATAAGCATAAAACTAAAAGTATCTGCTGCTCTTGCAGCTGAAAACCGAACTGTGTCAACAAAAGCCTAAAACATAGAGTATTCGACTAGTAGAAAAAATACAAAAACTGGAAAAACCGAGATTGGCTCTGTAGAAGAAGAGTTGCCAGTCTGCACTAAGATTGGCCAGGGTTAATGCATGTCATGAAATTGTCTCCCACTGCATCAGTTGATCCATCTTTTGGGTAGGTCATTCAGGCCCAGATCAATGACTGCTTTGTGAAGTCTCGATGCTCTTCTGCTGCATGATGTTCTTGTCCAGAATAATGTAAAATGTGCAACGTTAGAGGCTATCATATGAGGAGTGATAGGCTTATCATTGAAAATTAGGTTATTCCGACAAGTCCATGTCCACCAACAGAAACTAGGGAGCAAGACCCTCCATAGAACTCTAAGATCGGAGCTGACCAAGAAATTTCTCTTATCTGAAATTAAGGAATCCACATCCTGAGGCCAGTTATCTATATTTTCACGTGGGAGGAGCAAGGCCCAAGCAACTCTAGAGAGAGAGCAAGTAATGAATAGATGACCCTGACTCTCTGTGTCCTGGTTGCATAGGGGGCATCTGAGGTCTCTTGTCCACCCCTTTTAGGACAAGTTATCTTTGGTATGAAGCACTGCTGGATTTTCAACTTTTAGCGACGGAAAAATCCGTCGCTATAAGTCCATATTCCGTCGCTAAAAGTTTTAGCGACGGAATTTTTACAATTCCGTCGCTAAAACTTCGACGCTATTACAAGGGTGCCTAAAAAGACTTTTGGCGACGGCTCTTGTCCACCCCTTTTAGGACAAGTTATCTTTGGTATGAAGCACTGCTGGATTTTCAACTTTTAGCGACGGAAAAATCCGTCGCTATAAGTCCATATTCCGTCGCTAAAAGTTTTAGCGACGGAATTTTTACAATTCCGTCGCTAAAACTTCGACGCTATTACAAGGGTGCCTAAAAAGACTTTTGGCGACGGACATTCCGTCGCTAAATTTTAGCGACGGTCTATTAGCGACGGAATGTTGGTCGCCATTTAAAAAAAAATAAAAAACTAAAAAAACAATAGCGACGGAATTTCCGTCGTTAAATATATATTAGCGACGGAATTTCCGTCGCTAAAGAATATTAGCGACGGAAATTTCGTCGCTATTGTTTTTGGAAATTGTGCAGGTGTGGTTTCGTGCATGTTTTCCGTCGCTAAATATGACTTTAGTGACGGAATTTACGTAGCTAAAATTACTTTTAGCAACGGATTTTCCGTCGCTAAAAATTTAAAAAAAAACTTTTGGGAGATATTTTGAAAATTAAAAATACCCTGTACAATATCGATAATAATTTTTAAAAACCTATTTAATCAGCAGAAGAAAGCTTCAATCTTACGCAAATATCACATCTCACGCATATATCACACATTTAATTCAATAACAGCAAGTAAAAGTTTCTCGACAGGTACGTAATAAATATTGTTTATACAACACAAGAAATTAATTGTTTTCAAAGTTATGTTAAGGACAATCAATCCTCCTGATCATCATCATCATCCTCATCCTCAACACCAGCCACATTATGACTACCCCCGCCTGCACCTTGTGAAGAAGTCCCGGCCTGTAAATATAAATCAAATGTTAACAAGTGTGTGTGAACGTTAATAAGAGTACAAATATAAATATACTACAACACAACAACACAACACCACAACACAACACTACACCATCACAACACAACAACACAACACCACGATGTCTTGCTTTTATTGAATTCAGAACTCTAATGCGAACATTATCGTTAAGAGGTCCCGATATCGAACTATTTTTGATCTGATATCGAACTATTTTTTCAAGTGTTGTTTTTGGTATCACTTTGGATCTAGCATTTCAAACAGTTTTTAGCCTAACTAGTATCAGCCTGTATATGTATGTTTAGAAATGTTATTTGCTATAATACCGATCTTTTGTAGTGTTTGTTGATGTACATGTTATTATTATTATTATTTGGGAAGTCCATATCATCATGTCTAAATTATGCATATAATTCATTGATATAATATTTTGACTATAGATTATATTATTTCGTGTTCTCCCTATTTCAAGCATCACAAATAGGTTCTGATTTCATTTATATGAGCAGCAAAGCAGAAAATGTGACCACCAATAGCCGATCGCAAGGAATAAGATTTCTTTCACATCTCACCGGTACAAACTATCTTCCTCCCTTAATTTCATAATTACTGCCACATAAGCTTACTATATATATCTAATCTTGCAATTACCAGCCAATGTAGAGACAAAAGCAGCAGGTAAAGCATGTGCAAAGCCACTCCAAGCTAGAAATAATGCAGGAGTAAGGTAATGGCTTAATGGATTCGGAGAGTATTATGTTATTCAATCACTCCCTTGGATTGTTGTCTTAAATAGATTTAACCAAGCTTATATTTTCTCTACCAACCAACCAACCCACCAACCAATACCACCAACACTACGCATGCATACACCATCAACACCACCATCACATAAAAATATTATAAGTATATATTTTGAGGTTTGTGTTAGGGTTAGAGTTAGGGTTTGTGTGTAA